TTTTTTGCCGTCTCTTATTTCTTTCATTCCCTTCCCTGCCCTATAACAATTACGGGGCTGCTGAAGGCTTATTTCTCCCAGTGGCTGCTTTTCCTGGGGGACTAGTGCATTGTGTCTCATGTATCTATTTATTTTTACTTATAGAGCTTAAGCCTACAAGTGTAGGAGATGAGACTGCTGCTCCAAGGATTCTGCCCTATCTAGAAATAAATGTGGGGCAAAAAAGAAGACTTAAGAAAGCTCTTGCCTGCCTGAAAGGCTGCCTACTTCTTCCAGTCATGCTAGTAGATCTAATAAAAGATGTTACCTCTACCTACAAACTTTGTAATGCCAAAGAAGCTCAGATGTCACTAAAGAGATCAGTGTGTGTCAATCTTTGACTGCCAGCATAAGGACCTTTGTGTAAACTGTGACATAATATGATAAGCTGTTCTCTTGCTGAATTTCTTATGAGGTCATAAATGGAATAGTAGAGAGTGAATTAATACAAGGCTTATGTAACCTCTGGGAAATTTGTTTGTACTGGTGCTGTTTCTATTTTAAGAACATAAATTAGTCCAAATGGGCTAGTATTACCAGCATATTTCTGCATGCTACGTGTGTCCTGGATCAGCAACCTGAAGTATAGCATCCTGACTCTAACTTCTTAAGTTGAAAGCTCTTCAGTCAGAAGTCTTGTTCTTATTTATACTGCACCAAGCACAAATTTTAGCATGCTGCCTGTCACCTGATCTCAAAAGATGGATTTTTTTGCTTCCTCTGTGAGAGCAGGTAGTGGATTTGCAGGGGGGGGAAAAAAAAATCAGTACTGCCTTTTTGTACTGCAGCCCTCACTTTTAGGACTTGCAGTCTGAACAAGGGGAAAGAAAAGTACATGTACTGTTTGGATATGCTTTGTGTTGTATGGTCTGTATTACAACACTAGACATTACCCTCCTTTGCCGCAACTTTTCTGTTACGTTTTATAAATGATAACACCTATGGAAGCTATTGCTAGTCAGTAGTTGGGTTTCTTGGGTTGCTGTCCTTCTTTTTGTAAAGCTAAGTCTATGTAAGCAATGCTTTGACAGCAGTGAAATTCAGAATAGGAAAGATGGTGTTTTCATGACTAAAAGAGCTGCTTCCGTACTCCTTTAAAAGAGAAACACCCCCTCTCATAGCACATCTGAGTTAACTTTCTGGAAAAGGACTGCCCCTTCCAGCAGTTTCAGAAATAAGCAAAACTAAACCGGATAAGTAGAGACTTAGACACGCATTGAACAATACTGGATGCAAAAATGAAGAAAACTGTACATTGGTCTTCTCCCATTTCTTATTTCTGATTCAGTGACAACCAAGAAGTTTAATCTCCATCTCATTCCTTCCTTTATGTATCAGAAGATGTTATGAAATTTTTGAGAAGAAAGTATACCTTTTGTTAACCAGCACTGATGTAGAGAACCACAGTCTTTCTGATTTGACCTAGTCAAAAGTGCAACTCATAACTGCTTGCACTTAATCAGCTAAGTCTTTCAGGTGGCCATTCAAAACTAAAAATGTTCTTTTGGCAGTTCACTGAAGGCTGTAAACAGGAATTAATAGATGAAATGTTTTATTTAATTCTCTGTCAACAGTATCTGGAGTTAAGGTAGCATTTACAAATAATAATACTTAGCTATAAATTCATCATTTCCAGATTTTTAAAGGCTACCCTTAGACTTAGGAGACCTATACTTCTGCACTAAGATCTATCTTGCACAAACAGTCAGTAGATGCTTCTTCTCTTCGAAAATTAACTTGAGCTACTTAGGATGAATAAATATATCTGATACTGCATAGTATGCTGCTAAAGATTACACTGCAGGAGAGAATTAACTGACTGACAGGAGTTAAATTGCTTATGTCTCATGCACCTATTTAAAAATGTGCCCGAAAGCATCCTCATCGTCACATGCAATGTCACTTTCTAAGGAGTTAAAGTGTCTGGGGGAAGGAAGAGATGATCCAGGACATCAGTCAACCTAAACAAAGCTTAATCATGCATTGGCAAAAAGTTCGGCTTGTCTAAACTGATCGCTTTCAGTGCACTGTCTGAATCCCAACACTGAAGGAAATGCACGTCCTCATCTTTTCCTGGGTCTCCCTAGTTGACTGATCCGTGCAAAATCTTGAGTTGAACGAGTATTGAAGCTAGACTGCATGCAAGAAGACAGACAAAGGAGTTGGCTGGGTGGGAGGACATAAAACACTAGCAAGTTTTCAGATTGAAGTAGAGATAGGAGCCTGTATTGTTTATAGAAAGCATAATGAGGAGCATAATCTAAGGCTTAAGATCCTTAAGTCTTTTTCTGTCACTAAAGGACGAAGTAAAGAGCGTTTCCTGTTTATGATGATTGCCGTCAGGCAAGGCAAGACCATGGTCCCCTCCCTGCACAAAGAAGCACTCGCTATACTTCACTGAGCGTAATGCCTTCTGCTATTCCTGATGTTACTGCATTTAAAAGCATAAATGAAGCAGCTGACTGGTTAAGCAGAGAAGTAGATCTAAACTAATGGAGACTAAACAAGTAGGTATTCAGAACGCAATCATGTCTGAAATTATGCCTTAATGCAGATCTTGAGTTCTCAAACTTTTGTTCGGATAAAGTGAATGAGAGGAAAGCAGCAGCATTTGGCTCCCTGCCCTTTCAAATATTTGCTTCATCCCCTTCTTCCCCAATGTTATCATAAGAGAAACACAGAAAAACCTGAAAACCCCAAAGACCTTGTCATGATGTCTCAATCTGTAACGTTCTGGCCAAGCTGCAGACTAGTGGGCTTGCGAGCACACCTTCCAGCTTTCAAAAGCTTCTTTTACTGTGCTTTTCCTAATGATTGTACAATGGCACTGAATTTTTTACTGTGTTTTAGTGACTGTTCAGCAGTTCTGAGTTAACTAAGTTATTGGAAGGCAGAAGGACAAGTAATTTGAGAAAAGCACGTAATAAAAGGTTATTTACCTTTACATAAACCTGAGGGAGAAAACTCGCGGTCTCTTATATAGGAAGCGTCATATTGTGGATAAGAGAATGGCTCTAGGCTTTCATTCATGCTTTGCCATTGTCCTGGAACAAGTCATTTCACTTAATTAAGCCTTATTCATATTACATCATATTCACTTAATTATGGCTCTAATTCCCTGGCTATAAAATGGAGTTGAAACCACCTTCTGTAAAGCACTTGGAATTCCACTGATAAACAGTACTCTATGAAACTTTTTTCTATTAAATATACTGGCATCCGTGTTTGGAAGAGCCACTCTTAATTTTGAGATACAACATTTGAAAATGCTGAGTAATGTTGATTCTAGTGAAGGATACTCTCTAAAACATTGGTTTTGAGCTTGGATACCATCTAATGGATTGCGCTAGTGGTGATGTAGCTGTAAACTTTTGCCAGTTGTCTTAAAACAATAGAACAAACTTGTTCTGTTTTTTCAAATGTCTTTAAAGATACAGTAGTTAGCCAAGAGGATGAAAGCTGGATGCTTTCAGAGTGGGTTAGTAAGGAAATCCTTTCATTCCAGAAACCGGAATGAAATCCTTTTATTCCAATTTCTTTTCACTCACATACCTGAGCCTGGAAATACACTTCCATTCAGGCTCTTACCACAGCAAGGATGATTAGACACAAATAATCTCTAACTGCCTCCATATACACTTGTCTGGGATTTGGATGCACATAACAAGTGTCTTAAGTTCTGCAGCAAACTTGCCCTTTTTTTCTCTAGACCATGAAAAAAAAGACTGCTATCCTTTGGACAGCACAGCTTTAATCTTCCCACAGTTTCGGTAAATCTGGATTTACAGGCACTTCTATTTTAAGGCTTCTTGCTGAAGTCATCAGCATTTTGTCATTTATACCTTGCCCCAGAAAGGCATTATGAAATGTGGTCTCTGCGTGGCCCTTAACTACCAAAGAAAAAGATTAGGTACCGAATCAAAATACTTCAGTATATTTTACCTTCTGTCTTGATACTGGTGGTCTGTTAGTGAAGCTTAGGAGAAATAACATGCTTGAGGAAAGGGAAGCTGGTAATCCTCCAGGAGATTGTGTCAGCTAAGTCTGCAAGTGAAGTGGAAAATTTGTTCTCTTGCGGAAACTGTTATACTATACAAGTCACCATCATAACCAACTTTAGTTCTAGTCGTCTCTTGGCCCTTCTAACAGGAATTTGAACACAGTGTTTTGCTTGGACTTGATATTTGAGGAAACTTGGGCTCTCTTGGCTTTACGGCTACAATAAGAAAAGATTCGCAAAAACTGGCAAATATAAACATGAATACATTTAAACTTTTGGCTTGCTTATGGTCCATTGAAATAGCTAGAATCAGAAACTGTCTTGGACTAATAATGAACAATTTAAGTGTGGTAATGCTTCCTCATGTTTGAGTGCTGACTATGCACTCTAATAGAGGTATATTGTTCTTATAACTTGAGGTGCCATCTAGTTTTAAATGATGTCATCAGGAACCAGATGAGAATTAGGGGGTGATTGGTAAAATATACTGTAGACAGGCACTTTTGTTTTCTGATGGTACCTGTGATCTGTTCAGCATTGTGTTTTAGATTGATTATTGGCACAAATATGGGTAGTGTCAGAAACTAGAGTAAGTATTTCTTAACTTCTTCCAAACAAATGCTGAGAAGCTTAACCAAATGAGTAAGATTAGAAAATCTAATATTTAAAAAACCTAGTGCAGTTCATGTTACCCATGGAGGCCTTCTGCCTCAGATGTGGGAGGGCTGTAACTCACTGGAAGGTACTTTCTGCCACCAGATGTCAGTATAAACATAATTATAATCAAGTCTTTTTATTTTTACTGGATTTGCCCTCAATAATGTATCTAGTATTATTTTTCTCTCGTGGTGAATAATTGCACAGTTAACAACCTTTGTGCAGGTACCAGTTTTTAGTTCAGAGGTTTGTTACCCTTAGAACTGAAATAAGCAGTTGGGTTTTATACTCAAAAAGCCGTATCAGATCTAGGCATCACTAATGCAGTTAATATTTTGGAAGAAACGTGACGATTTCCTCCTTCCTGTAATTGTAGGGCCAGCCTTATGTTTTCTACACTGGAAATAATTTAACTGATTCTAGTGAACGTGGAGCGGAAGCGTATTGAGATTCTGTAGCTAGTCGGTCTGATCATTTATGTTAACAAGGAGGATCTACTACAAAGGAACAGGCAGATTGACAGCAATTACTTAATGGTCTGTTAAGATAGATCTGTTTGAAAAGGGTTATTGCTTGCTCATAGCAGTGATACTATGACTACAGAAAGACTCACAGAAAGGAGAACATCTTCAAGCAGTGACTTCCATATAAAGAGAAAATAATTGCAAACTTTTCAAGGAAAGGTCAGCATCTTGTTCTTTGAGCTGTAGAACTATGTAGACTTCAAAGTTATGAAATGAGCCATGTATGGAGGGGAAGAAGCGTCTGTTTTAAAAAAAAAAAAAAAAAAAGTAAAGAGTCAATCAGAAAATGGGATCATTTATTATTTCTTCTGCAGCTATTAACAGCCTTTCTCCCTAAAGCTGTGCAAAAATTGAGGCTATTGGTATCTAACATAGCAAATAAAGGAATCCATTAGAGGAGAAATGACTTATTATAAGAAATAATACCTTATTTCTCTTGCACTTTACTGTGTCAGCTTTTTATTTTAATTCTGGCTGTCTTCAAAAACATAAACCCTAAATGTTAAACTAAGATCACTGTGATTTCTTGTTTGTAGGATTTATTTTTTAGACTACCAAATATTAACTTTACTAGAATCACTCTGGAGGCCGCACTAAAACCCAGGCACAGGTGGTTGTAACTTCCATTAAAATCAGAGGGGAATTATATCTGCTTACACACGGGTGGAATTCAGCCTCCTGTCTTAGGCAGTGTCAGGAGATTAGTTTGTGAACTTCACGGAACATAGCTGTTTCTTTTTGGAGTTTCCTGATCATTGTTAGAGATGGTGATGTGTTAGGATGAACTGCAATTTCTGCTTCTTAAAAAGCGGGAAAAACTGATAGTTAAGAGAATCTTGTACTGCTCAGCCAGTATGGATAAGATAACAGTAAAAGTGACTGGTGGCCTTATTTGAGACTTAATTTTTTCTTTTTACTTAAACACAGGTTTGTAAGCGAATGGACTTGGTTTGCCAGCGAATGTTAAATCAGGGATTTCTGAAAGTGGAAAGATACCACAACTTGTGTCAAAAGCAAGTTAAAGCTCAGCTTCCAAGGTATGTACCAATTAAAACTGTAGTTAAACCTACATCAGTTAGATTATTTTAAGCTTAATACTAAAAAGGAACCTCTGCTAGCTAGCTCAGCTTATATATCCTGAAAATTTGAATCATATTTGTTTTCCTTTTGTTTCCAAAAGCACCTAAGCCTAAGATCTAATTACAAAATAATGGTGTGGGTGGTAATTTTAGTACACCAGGAAGTGGAATTTTAGAAAGTGTCTCTGGTATTTTAAACAGAGACAGGAAAGGTCCTGTATTACTCAGCTCTTCTGGAATGGATGAATGCCATTCCTTTTCAAGACAAACCGCCTTCACTGATGACTTACCGGTAACTGCTTAAAATAGCAAGATGCTTCAGTGATAACAATTAAACTGGGGAAGAGGAGGGGCTTTGACATGTGAGCATTAGTGGGAGCTGTAATATTATTTAACTTGTGTCAATTGGGTTGAAGTTCTAACTGTAGGAATATGGGGCAGTAAAATATTTATACTGACTCAGTGTCTACTGCTAGTTAGTACTGAAAGCTTGTTTATGAATAGCGTCCTAAATTACATACAGAGTTTATGGATCACATAAAACTTGTAATAATTATTTAGGGAACAAATTTTGTCTAAGAAACTACACTACATTGTTACTGGCTGGTTCTTCTCTTTATCAGCTTTTTCATAAAGACAGAGCTAATTTAAGCGGTTACATTTTAAAACCTCAGAAGGCTTTTAAGAATGAAATTGAGTGATTGTTGCAGTTTTATTTTGTTGACTCATGGCTAAATTGGTGTCACTTAACGGTCTGTCTCCTAGACGGGAGTCAGAAAGAAGAAATCATTCGTTAGCTCGTCATGCAGACATCCTTGCTGCTGTAGAAACACGACTCTCTCTGTTAAATATGACTTTCATGAAGTATGTGGATTCCAATCTCTGTTGCTTCATACCTGGAAAGGTAAAACGTAAACTGTATTATGTGAATGAATATCTCGGTGTTAAAAAAAAAAAAAAAAATCATAACTTGCAGTAAATTTGTCCTGGCTTAAAAAATGTATATGAAATGTGGAACTGTGTTTTGGATACTTACAAACACACAAGCCAAAACTCTGCTGTAAAAGGCAGTATGAAATGAATGAACCAGACTACATGTAAATATCTGTTGCTTAACTTGATTTGTATTTCCCCTTAGAATCTCTTAATTTTGATGTTTTACTTCCAGAATATAGCTCCTTTTACAGGAAGCAGAGAGGGTATGTAGCTTTTAAGTCTGAATTGTAATTGTACAAAAGAGCTGGAGGCCAGGTCTTCAGAAGATGTAGTAGTTCAGACTATGTACAACCCTATTCAGTCTCTCAGGAAGACTTTAAGCACCTTTCTTAGGGGATCTGAGTTAGAATAATTGAATTAAGATATTTAATGTGTGGAAACACCGTTTAGTATTAAAATGAATGGTGTATTTTTGTACGCTACGTGAAATTAGTTTTAAACACAGATAGGCTTTGCTAATATTATTACTACTGTACAACTTGAGGTATTTCAGAATGCTATGCCAACATAAAATATAAATTATCTAAGTGAGATATATGTCAGAGATATCAGTGTTTTATAAGCTGTGAAAACAGAGGTGTACAGAGGGATTGACGCAGTAATGATCTGAGGAAGACTGGTACAGCTCAGGTTTGAATCAAGTCTGTGAACACTAGCCTACTGCTCTATTCATTGGTCTCTTTGCATATGAAGTTTGGATATGTGGATATTAATTTTTTATGGGCGTATTACTGAATTGCCACGGGGATGAACTGAAGATAGCTGTTGGATTCAGATGAATGCCAGACATTTCTACTTTCAGTATGGTAGGGATAGGCTGTCAGCATGAAACATAAGATTTAAAGGTAACTTGATTTATGGGTACTCTTTTGACTTGATGTTAACGCCATTCCAGAAGTCCTTGATACTAGCATGCTGATGGAGTACTTAAAAGAAGTGTTGCCTTAATCATTTTTTTCAGGAGTGGAGGGAAGGCAATAGTCAAGTTAGACCTTGGGTGTGCAGGAATTTGGCAGGTTTGCCATTTTACTTGTGGGAACTGGGTCATAAGGAGCTTGTTTGTATTGTGATATAACAGCTAAAAAGTTTTTGTTTTCCTCTTCGTTTAGTATACCAGTTTGGTAGCACTGCTGCTCTCAGCACAGTCATCAGTGCACGAGAAGATCACTTTTTGGTCAAGCAAATTCCAGACACTGTGTTTACTTACAGTGTATGGTCCCGTCCCCCGCCCTGCTATAGAAATTTCAGGGCCTGAATTCATGTTAGAATATGTGAATGCTGATTTGAGTTTCAGCATACTGTTTAAGGGTTCCTGGTCAATTACAGAACTGCTGCTGCAAGATTTTATGTTGATGATAGCAGGAGAATGCTTTGAGGATGTCATTTTTAAGAGGATATAACATGGAAAAGATTAGAGAAGACTTCTGTATGCTTGTTGGGTGATGAGACACTTTGGTCATCAGTCTAACCCTTGCAACTTTTTATCTGAGCTTCCTTTGTTAAAACACAAGATGCAGTTGTGTTGTCTTACCTATGATTCTTAGTTATTGAGGTCTTTAATTTTCAGTAGACTCTTCAGCCATTCTTCATCCTGTAGAAAAAAACTAATCATGTCAGTAGTTTCTGTATTAAGAGACCAGCACTCCTGTTTTGACCTGTTCAGACTATAGTTCATAATTAGCAAGACTGTATCCTGAACAAAGGGCTTGTTTTTCAAGCCTGTTAAGATGGTGCTTATATTCTCTCCCAATTGTAGTTTAATATTTCATAATTAATATATTTTGGATCTAATCTGGATTTGCAGTATTTCAGGTGTATGCAAGTGAACTCAAACTCAAGTAATATATTTGCAGCTCTTCTGACTGGCACAATAATTCTTGCTATTCCATTCACATATTACATATGCCTCATGATTGGCTGGGGAATGACTGCTCTGCAGATGTGGTTAGTGTGGCTTCCAGTATCTCGCTTCAGGTTCTCCAAAAAGAAATGTGTATGCTCTACTGCATTATAGATTATGTAATACAGAATTCAAGTATGGATGTAGTAAAACAAATGTTCCTAACTAATATCTCACACAGTGAGTAGTCGTTCATGATTTTGAAGAGAACTGTTATATCAAGTGAACGTTTTCTCTAATATATGAAAAACTTTAATTCTGCCTCTACAAAATACAGCATTTCATTTCAAATAGCTGATGCAAAACTAAAGGACAGAGTGATATGCAAGAGTAATAGCTGCCTAGCAAAAGCCCCTGAGTACACCAACACTATAGCTTCTGGAGTGATCTGAAATAATCTTGTCTTCCCTTTATCAGAAAATCCTAATGCTTATTAAATATTTTAGGTAATCGATGAAATTTATCGTGTGCTAAGGTATGTAAACTCTACAAGAGCTCCTCAGAGAGCTCATGAAGTTCTTCAAGAACTAAGGGACATTTCTTCCATGGCTATGGAATATTTTGATGAGAAGATTGTTCCAATACTGAAAAGAAAGCTGCCTGGGTCAGATGTATCAGGACGTCTCATAGGAGCTGCCCCAGGTATTAATTCCAACATATAGTTCATTTTATTTACTTTTTTCTTTAAAAATCTCATAGCACATCTTTTTAAAGCTCCTTCCTTTACATGTGAGCTTCATTACATACATATTGATGATACTTGTTTCTTAAGAATGTTAAATGAAATTTGTTTGCCTTCAAATTTAAGGAGGCTTTGTACTACCCAAAGAATGGTCACTTGAATGTATGTTATAATTATGCATAGTGTGTATTCATTAAACAAACGCTTTTGTGCCACCAATGAATGAGACTTTATCATTGCACTTGGTTGAAATTTGGCACATGAGATGACAACTCAAGATGACTTTTATTTTAGTACAGTCAGCAAATGAATTAGCGTAAGCTGTTGAAGTGCACAGAGAGCTAGAACATGCTTGGATGTGCTTTTTTACTTTCCTGGGGCCCTCATGTATGCACTAACAAGCAAAGTACTTGTGGGTAATATGGAAAAGGCAGTTGAAATAACAGTCTACAAGTAAACAATTAAACTGGTTCTTTGTATAACCTGTCAGGCTTTCCATAATTTATGTGAACCAAAGTCTGGGGTGGTTGCCTCATATATAATGGCCAGAAGCAAAAGGCTAGTAGAACTGTAGTGTTTTCCCTCTGCAAAACTTCTTTCCGCATACTGTTGGAGAACCTTAGATTGCAAAATAAAGATCTCTCTGTAAGGATAACTTAACAAACAAACAAGAAGCTGCAACTTAAGCAAAAACAGTAGGTCTAACTCTAGGAGCTGCTTGCTGTTTCTGATATGCCCTCTCCATCCTTTCAGCTGTAGGGGTATGTATTACTTTTTAATTATAGCCTCTTAATTATACCTCGGTTCCACTGAGTTTCTCAGGTGAGGAAGTGCTGCCCAAAACCATAGGTGCTATCAATCAACTTGTCAAGCTCAAGTCTTTATATGGCATAAATATGCCTATCTTATGTTGAGGGAAGAACCACACCTGTCTAACAGTAACTCTTTCGTGTCAGATAGCTGTAACCTTGCTGGCATCTTAAAGGAAAAAAGGCAGAAAGGTGTTCAAGACTGTTCTAGACTGTTCTTTCTTCATAGTGCTTAAAAGTTGCATCTCGCTTGCACTACGTTACTGGAAGAGTGAAACTTATGATAGAAAAAGCGAGTGAAATTATACAGTAGCCATTAGTCTCATTGATTTGCAGGAACTTTATGGAAAACAACATTTTCTAAGCTCAAACTCCAGTAGGGTTTTAGGACCCAAGAAGAACAACAGACTGTGCGTAAAAGGTCATGGAAAAGAAAAATCTCTTCTTTCTAAACAATAAATTAAACTGAAATATCTTTGTCAAGCCCCTAAACACAAAATTTCAGAATTTAACTCGTCTACAACTATGACAGTGGAATTGTACTGTTGTACTGAAATGTACGTACATTATATGTAATATGCCTTACTTAGAGCCATGTTGGAGTTTTTTGACTGAACATCTGTAACATTAAGTCTGGCTGACAACATAATCTCTTCACAGAACTTTTGATACAGCAAAAGGGGGCTTACATGCAGAAAATGAATGATGAGCTGTTTTTCAGACTAATGAAAATCTTAAGGTTTTTCAATTAAACTAGATGTACCCTGAAATACCATATATTTTTGTTATACACTGAAACAACTGTAACCCTGCTAACACGTTCGCATAACTTGCAACCAGTATTCAGATTCATGTTTGGGGAGTAGGGTAAGCAAGATACGAAAACTGGGACATAGTTGCCACTTTTGTCTTAAAGATATCGAGAATAAATCACTGTTTTCTCTGAAGTTCCAGGGCCTTCTGCAGCACTAACAACAATGCAGCTATTCTCCAAGCAAAACCCTTCAAGACAGGAAGTCACCAAACTCCAGCAGCAAGTGAAAACAAATGGTGCAGGTGTGACAATGCTAAGGCGGGAAATCTCAGAGCTTCGCACCAAAGTGCAGGAACAACAGAAACAGCTCCAAGACCAAGATCAGAAACTGCTAGAGCAAACCCAAATCATAGGTGAACAGAATGCCCGATTGGCTGAGCTTGAACGCAAACTGCGAGAGGTGATGGAGAGTGCAGTAGGAAATTCCTCAGGTTCTGGCTCAAATGAAGAATCTCCTAGAAAACGGAGGAAGGCAGCTGAATCTGTAGACTGTCCTAGGAAATCTAAACGCCTTCGAAACAGAAAATAACTTGGGAGTAAATGACCTTCAGGAGGATACACTGCTTTAGTAGCCCAAGCAGATCCCTGCTTGTTTGGATACTGTGACTAGTTTCATGGTGTCACTGAGGCTGCTGGCTCTTCGAAACACCACTTAGACTTGAACAGTAATTTTCTTTCATTGAGACTTTTCCCCTGCTTTCTGTCTGGGTGGGCCTAATTCACAGGATCTTTAAGATTTGCAATAGATACATACTAACCTGACCTGCTCTATCATGTTTTGAAAGGTTCATCTTTTTTTTCTGTGCGGATGTGTTTAAAGTAAACGTATTTGTGTTTATGCATATATTCACATAAAATCTTAAATAGATCCAGTCTTAACTGGCTAGAAAGTTAAGCTTACAAACACATGTCCTGTTCACTTGAAGAAAAGACCCACTTTTTAAATCTTGTTTTCGAGAACTTGACCTTTTTTTGTTACAAGTGACCTTGTCTGGAATGTCTGAAAAGTAGTTAATACTTTTTTGGGATCTATGTAATGAGTAAAACTGACTTCTTAACCTATGGTATTGGCTATATATTTTTGTAAACCTACAAGGAAGGGCCTTCTGTTCAGTCTTTACGTGCACACACCCTAGTTCTAGGTCTTGGGAGCCATATTCTACATTTGCATGGATAGGTGCATGTACTGCTTAGTCAGCCTGCTAAAAGCACTTGCCTGAAGTTGTTCTCAACTCTGGAAGAGACGTAGAGACCTATAAAGCAAATCTTTGTTCCTCAGCCATAATTTAGCATCTGCTTTCAGCACAACTGCTTTCTTACAATGAGGTGGTCTTACAAAGCTAGTTGGCAGGAGAGTTTGAAGCCAGGCTATCTGCCACTTTCACTGCCTGTAAATTGCAGGTACTGTTAGCCAAAGCTTGAGCGTTGAGAAGCTGCCTATGCATCACCTTGATTCATAGGCCAACATCAATAAGTATTAGACAAACTGTCCCTAACAGTAACCAAGCTCAGTGGGACACCGTTTGAATGAACCGCTGCATTATGGAAAAACTTAAACTATTTTGTGTGTATGTGTTTGGGGGGAGGGGGGAATGTGTGGAGATTTCTCTGTAATACTGATGACAATATTCTAGCTTTCCTTATCCTAAAAGGTAAATCACTTCAGACAAAGCTTTAATTTCTTTTGCACTTCTGTTTTGAGCTTGTAACTGGAAAAGCATGTCTTGCACTGTTCAGTCTCTCTGGTCACTTTAACAACTTCGGAGTTGTGTACAGTGATTTTTTTTTTCCCCCCGTCTGTATATTTTTGGAACCTTATACAAATACCATTGTCCTTGTTTTTGTTTTAATGTACTAAACTATGTAGCTTTATCATTTGACTTATGTTTTCTTTTTTTAACCAGCTGTTGCTTTGGGTTTAGGTGGTACTGAATTCAACTTGGTGTGGCACTAAACATGCAAATGCTGCAGTTGTAGCTGTTTATAATATTGATAATATTACAGTGGGTTAAAGCACAAATTTCTCGTGTTTTGAATAGCTGTCAGCATAACATAGTGGTTGTATTTGTCACCAAACAAATTGGGAATTTTCTGGTCAAATGTTCTGGAATCTGAGGAGAACTGACGTATTTCCTGAAACTTAAGCTTCAAGTTTTACTTCTACAAGTTCAGATCAGAAAAAACACTGCAAAGTATCATTGCGAATGCCTAATTTTTGGCAGACAATTTTGAAATAAACTTGTTTGTTAGTTTGAGGCTTTTAAAAAGGTATGTTTCTTTTTAAGCAAAGCATCAAACAAATGATTAAAGGTCATCTGGGGGAAAGATTAAACTTCTAAAGGACCATATGCTGTTATTGGTCTTCCATAGCTCATCATTTTTTTACTGTTACAGACCTCTTGAAGAGCG